CCAAACGAGCTTGCTATTCTTATCTCGAAACTTTCTCTTCCATGCCCACACCACCTCCTTGATACGCCTTGGCAACACCCAACTCATATGTTGCGAGGCCAGAATATCATTCCACATCCACCGAACTCCGGCACAATGAATGAACAAATGATCGATCGTCTCGCCATCGACGACAAAGTTAGAATATGGTGCAACCTTTGATATGCCATAACCGTTAAAATACAGGATAAAGCAATAGATCTCAAAGAAAAATGCATTCATTCGGCACAGAAGAGATTATATAATCAAACCAAACAGTAACTTTGGTACATGAACGCAAATTCAAAACTGAAACGGAAAAAATGAATTTAATCCTAAATCACAATGTACAAAAACAAATATTTCATTCAAAATGAGCAAGCTATTAAAACGTTACCTATGAGATGGTGATATATTTCTGGGACTACTTATACCAGGAGACTTAAGTGCAACACTGCCACTATCCTGGGAAACAGAAGAGCTCGAAGCAGCAGTTGATTGCTTGTTATCAGGACAGACCTCTTCTGGTTTCACCTCTTCCATTTAATCCCTTCAACCGATCACACCTCCAAATCCCAGACTTCCTAAACTGAACATTCACCAATCCAATAAATAAATAACAAATTTCAATAACCTCTAAACTTATTCAGTCAAAACCCAAAAATCCCCGATCATAACTAAATATCATTAGCACCAATGATAAGATTAAGCTAACCCCAGATCTCATACACAAGTTGTACTAATAATAATCCAGAAAACCAAAATCCCGAGAAAAAGTAATTCCAGTCTATGTTAAAACAAAAAATAAAAATACTTAAATTGATCAAAAACCAAGTTAAAAAATAGAAGCATAAAATTGGAAAAAAAAAATTAAAATTCAACAATCTTAGAAGAAATTAATTACAGCTACTGACCTAATGAAATAAAACTCTAGCTCACAGATTCTAGAGCTTCCAGACACAGAAAATCTCACTTTCTAAAGATAGAAAATTTTGCGTTTGATATCGCGAAAAGACCTTGTCCGTTGAATGACGAAGAAAAGAAAAAGGAAATATTAATATATATTTTGTATATAACGAATACTTGTTAGGGCGTCAGTGACGGTGCCGTTTAGTGGCCGTTGAGATTTGGAGGAAACAGAAGGGAGGTTTTAACGGCCATTGACGGTTGCACGTGACCGTTATTGACAAGAGTTTGAACATCAAACGGCATATTAGGCATTGGTTGAACGCTGAACACTTTAATGGGTCGGATCTTTCCCGGGTAATTGCTGACTGGGAATCAACGATCTGGATGTGATTGATACTTCGTAACGGAACAAAATTTAAAGAGTTTTCCCCGTAATTTCATATGTGACTGTATATGTGAAATAATGAGATTGAATAGTTCAATTTTTATGAATGAGAGACGGAGAGGGGAAAGAGAAAAATGTGAGGTAATGATTTGCCACGTCACGGATATTTTATCATACCTGGGAACTGCTTCGGGCACTGCTGATTTTTATAATAAGTTTCCTTATAAGGAAAAGCATAAGTTCATTCAAATAATTAATCGACCAAAGTTGAAAACATAATGCGATTGTAGTTACTTCTAAAAATGTATGAAAGTGAAGTATTTTAACTCGAAAAATTCTAAAATGAGTGAAAAGGCACAATATAGGTTTGAGACATTAACAAAACATGTCCCGTATATGGGTACGATGTGAAAAAAGACAGTCAACTCCTCTTTTAATAGTCTAGTGTGGAAATAGGCATCAAAAAGTATTATTTTTTTATTGTTGTAGCCGACAGTTTTATACTTAATTAATGCAGTCTTGGACACTCAATTAGTGTGGACGATTTCTTGGATACATCAAGGTAAAAATTTTCGGGGTTCTAATTTGTTATAAGCGTGGCATTCATGTCATCAACCTAACATATGTTGAACTTATGTGCTCAATCTTTAAAAATTGTGAAATCATGTCCGAAAAATGTTTATTTGAGCGTTAAACCCCTATTTGGTTTTGAAAAGAATCAATTTTTTAATAAATTTTGATAAAAATTGATGTAATGCATGGTTAAAAGGTTGTGAATCTCATAAAATATATAATTAAAATTAATTTTTAAATTTAATTTAATTTTAATGTACATAATAGTTTACGTACATGATGTGACGAAATATGATTGGATCGAAATTTCTTCAGTAAAATAAAAAAAAAACCCTCCACTCTCTTTTATACCTCATGTGCATCAACGTAAGCTATTCAAGTAAACGTACAAGTAGCATTATTCAAATTAATCTGGGTTGGTTCACGGATTAATTCAAACTTTAAAACTCTCCTTTAACGTCCACGGCACTGTTACCGTATATAATTGTATATATTTTGGGAAAGCTGATTCTTAGGAATTATACTTATTTACTTTCCTTGTAGATTAAAGGTTTGTACAATATATATACAATAAGGAACCCAATACAAGGGCAACGGATTTTCACAGAAATTGGGCTCAATTGTTCAGCCCTTTTTGACATGGTATCAGAGAAGGGTTTGTGATTCTTACCCGTTTCGAAATTTTTTTCCTGGTCACATCGCTTCCTCCGAGTCGGCGATTTCTGTTGCAAACACCCTTATTTTCACTTTTCATTACATAAAATGCAAATTTTCAACCATTTTCTCAATTAAAAGTTGTAAAATGACGAATATACCCTTCTATTTAAATAAAATAAAAATAAGAAAGAAAGAATTAATTACAACCATAATCCCAATTTTTTTTAAAAAGTACAAATGAGTCCCAAATAAATTATTAAAAGGGTAATTAGTACATAATGTCCATATCTTTCACTACCATTGTGAAAAACGTCAATATTTTTCATTTTTTAGTATTTTCACCCTTGATTATATATTTAATTGCGCAAATCATCATTTCTATCTATTTTCTCAATAAAAGCTGTTAAATGACGAATATACACTCCTATTTAAATAAAAAAATAAAGAAAATTAATTTTTTTTTATTTCTAATTTTTTAAATAATTTATTTGGAACTCATTTGCAATTTTTAATTTTTTTTATTTCTAATTTTTAATAATTTATTTGGGGACTCGTTTGTATTTTTTTCTAAATTAGTTCTTGGGACTATGGTTGCAATTAGTTCTTTATTTTTCTTTTATATATATATTCATCATTTAGCCCCCGCTTGATGCACATTTTCAAGGTAAGAATACATTTTTACTGTTGATGTGATGGAGAATATATGGTTGAAAAAGAAGGAAAAGTTATTGATACGATAGAAAATATTATTTTATTGAAAAATGAGTGGTTAAAAATGAGTAGAAGAATGAGAATAAAAAAATAATGTGGACCAAATATGGCCTAATAGCTATTGAGAAATTGGATGAAAATGGATAGAAATGATCATTTGGGCAATCAATTGTTTAATTAAGAGTAAAAATGTCAAAAAAATGAAAGATGTGGACGTTTTCACAACAATAGTAAAATGTATGGGTGGACATTATGTTCTAATTACCTTTTTACTAATTTATTTGAGATTCGTTTGCACTTTTTTAAAAAATTTGGGACTATGGTTGAAATTAGTTATTTCTTTTTAAAAAAAAAAAATTAAATAGAATGGTATATCTGTCAATTCACAACTTAAATAAGAAAATAGATGAAAAACCTTTTACACAATTGAAGGTGAAAGTAACGATGAAAATGCTAAAAAATGAAATGTGACGTTTTCCATAATAATAGTGAAATTTAAGGATGTCATGTGCTAATTAACAAAGAGGATTAATTTTAAATTCATAAATAAGGTGATAATTAAGAATTATTAAATTAATTAATGCAGAACTATTATGGAAAATATCTAATCAAATCTTTTCACACATCCCATTGTTATTAGGACCGTGATTGGAGTACAGAGACTCCAATCACAGGTCCTTGCCCGGCCACACACATCAGGTGGAGTTGGGCAAATTTTTTTTTTTTTATTCACATGTGGGGTCCGCCCCCACATGTGAGAGGCTTGTAAGGCCTCGGTAAAGAAGAGGCATGTACTTCAAGCTTTGTCCTTGTTATTATTGTTACCGTATATAATTGTATATATTTTGGGAAAGCTGATTCTTAGGAATTATACTTATTTACTTTCCTTGTAGATTAAAGGTTTGTACAATATATATACAATAAGGAACCCAATACAAGGGAAACGGATTTTCACAGAAATTGGTCTCAATTGTTCAACCCTTTTGACATGGTATCAGAGAAGGGTTTGTGATTCTTACTCGTTTCGAAATTTTTTTCCTGGTCACATCGCTTCTAGGCTCAGCCGCTAAAGACAACGTTTTTCTGGTTGGGTTCTGTCTTTTGGTAGTTTTTGTGCACCTTCTTCTCGTTTCTTCTGGATTTCGGCGGCGTCTCTTGCAGTGGATTTCCTGAGCGTATTGGCTCTGTCTGGATTTTTTTTGTGGCTCAGTTTGTGCGAGTTCTTGGATTTGTTCAGTGCGGCTTCTTGGTTTGCTTTATTGTTCAGCAATTTTTTTGTTTCTTGCTTTCTATTTGGTTATCGGCAAATATTATTCTGCTTGGGCATTTGACTTTCTGGCGTGCTGTTTTCTGGTTGGATATTTTTTTCTCTTCTCTGGCCTACATCATGTCATCTGATAAATTCGAATCATTTCATATTCGATTTACTGGCAAATATTATTCTGCTTGGGCATTTCAATTTCAATTATTTGTCAAAGGCAAAGAATTGTGGGGTCATATTGATGGGAGTGTTCCCGCACCTAGCGATGAGACTTTGTCAAAGTGGGAAATCAAGGATGCTAGGGTCATGACCTGGATCCTTGGCTCCGTTGAGCCTCACCTTGTTCTCAATCTGCGGCCTTATAAAACTACTGCTGATATGTGGAATTATCTCAAGACGGTTTACAACCAAGATCACTCCGCTAGGCGATTTCAATTGGAATATGAGATGGCTAATTTTACACAGGGCAGTCTTTCCATTGAGGAATATTATTCTGGTTTTCAAAACCTTTGGGCTGACTATTCTGATATTGTTTATGCTGGTGTTCCCGCTGGCGCTCTCGCTGCTGTTCAAGCAGAGCATGCCACCAGCAAGAGAGATCAATTCTTGATGAAGATGTGACCCGACTTTGACATTGCACGTTCTAATCTGATGAATCGTGCTCCTGTTCCATCTCTGGATGCTTGTTTGAGTGAACTTCTTCGTGAGGAGCAGCGTCTACTAACTCACGCTTCGATGACACATCAGGATCCTGCTAGTGTACCTGTTTCTGTGGCTTATGCAGCACAAGGGAGGAATGAGGGTAGAGACATACGTGTTGTCCAGTGCTTTGGTTGTAAAGCTTTTGGTCATATTGCTCGGGATTGCCCCAAGAAGTTCTGTTACTATTGTAAGAAACAGGGTCATATCATCTCTGCTTGTCCTATTCGACCTGAAAGGAAGCAGGGTACTGCTTATCATGCCTCCGCTGGTGCCTCTAATTCTGCTACATTGCCTGCTGCCTCACCGGTTGTTCCTGTTCCTACTCCTACACCTACAGCCTTAGCA